GTCCTCACCAAGGGAGCACTTAAAAGAGCTGGAGCAGCATCAATACTATTTAGTTTCTTCCATCACATCAACCCAGGAAAGGTTCACAACTGTTCTACCCAACACATCTCCCCCAAGCAGCACTGCCATGATATGGACCGGGGTATTACCAGAGCCCCGAGATACGTGGGAAGAAAAATGGAACCGTGAAATAAAAGCTTAAGTACGAGGGAATTCAAACAGGGCTTGTAATTCATTACTTGGAATACCAAGAGAATTGTAAAACACCTTGTAACTGAGAGGCTTGGCTTGGAGCTGTTAAGGACTGCAGCCCCCACTTCATCAAGGGCTGACAAATTTTGAATGGTTTTGGCAACACGAGGGTGCAAGCACTGTGCTTGCTCTCGCAGCTGACTGACGAGACGGAAATGCTTTGTTTTGCTTAACTGGACCTCTCTCTCTCTCTCTCTAAATTGCTTCCTTGGGTTTCTAACCAAGGAAATAATATCCAGCAATGCCCTCCACGGCTGGTCTGGAAGGGTCGGCATGGGCAGCGCGTGTGCCCACCTGGAGACACCTCACCTCCCGTCTGAAGGCAGAGGAGGCCGGAGCACACAGGGACACCGGTGACTGGCAGCGCCTACGTTTGTCTGACTGTACTAACGAGGCGACAGACTGACAGACAAGACCCTTTCCTGTGAGACTTTCCTCAAAAAATGCGACACACAATGCAAAAGAATTAAAAAATAAATCTGCTCGCTTACGTCCTCCCTCGGTGAACCAGAGGGCAGCGGGCAGACCTGCTGCGCGTGCCCCAGGGACCCCGGGCCGGGTGCGAAGGGCACAGGACACAGCCCTGCCCTCAGCACCGGCCGGAACCGGCTGGAGGGCTGCACCGGGCCGGGCCCATCTCCTTGGGGACTGGATGATCTTTTCGAGGTCCCTTCCAGCCCCCAGGATCCTGTGATTCCTCACCCGCCAGGGCCTGCCCCGCTCCCCGCACCGCACGGCCTGTCTGCCCGGGGCGAAGCCGCTTCTGAGGGCAACGGGGCCGCTCTCCCAAGTGTCTCAGATCGGCGCAGGAAAGACCCCACAGCCCGGGCTCCTCTCGTGGCCCTTCGCGAAGCTTCGCGGCGCCTTTCTGCTCTGAACAGACCCACACACAGCACGCCGAGCGCTGTTACACACACCTTAAGCATAAACTCTACTTTATGTGTTCCGGCGCACGCCACGAGGAGACAGGCCCTGACCCAGCACCCTCGCAGTGTGAGGGGCAGGGGCTCCCCCCGCCCCTCCCGCCGCGGGC